ACTCGCCTAATAACTAAATGGAGTCCAACGGCTAGTTTTATTTATTTTGTGTTTTCTTAATTGTTTTTTTCGTAAATTGTGTTATGAAAGACTTTGTTTGGTTCGTTGGGTTTGCTCTCGCTCTTGTCGTTTTGTTTAAACAAGTTCATTAATTATCAAGGATTATTTTACAAGTTTTTGACAAAAACAAGAGATTTTTCGAATAAACGTAAAATGCTTAAAATTAATTCCGGTTTTATCAGACTATGATTTTAAAAACAAAAATTAATTTTAATATAATTAATTTTGTTTTTTATCAGACTATGTAATCATTATTCACATTACAAAAATGCTGGTTCTGACAAAGGCTGGCATTATTTTTTAGTTTGTCATAAGTATTACCATTGTTCAAAATTCAAACTAAACCAATAATTTAGTACTTGCATTCAAAATTTATTCGGTTATTGTTGCAAGTTTGTTAGTTACATTATTTGTATGTGAATTAAATTAGGTAGTAAGTTTACTAATTATAAATCTGAGTCAAGAGATCAAAGCATTGTTGTTGGTCTGAAATGAATAAAATAGTATTTGTTTTTTGGGCAGACCAGCTTCGGTTAATGCGCCGGAGCTTGAACCAACTATGGATACAAACAACAGACCGCTCCTTCACTTCTTCTCCTAACGGCTATATTTGTGGGTCCCACTAGACATAGATCTGCTAACCCCAAGTGTCCGAAGCCGAAGGTAACCCATTTCCTTTAATGCTAATTGAATAAAGTATAGTTTCGACTTTAGAATAAGAAGAAGAAGACACACGACTTTTAAACTTGAAAGTGAAACTTTTTCAGTTTTTTTCGAATAAAAAATAAGAGAAGTGTTGTGCCGTACGAGGTTAAATATCTTGACGTTGATCTCTCTTTTACCTGTCTACTTAAAATAGTTTACTGTACCGTTGGGTCTAACTCGTTAGATTTAAAGTTTTTGTACTTGCATTCTTTTAAAAATTCTTATATATTATTTCGGTTCAAACAATTATTTTGTTTTTTTAGCACCAAAAAAAAACAATTATTTTGTTTTGAAGATAGAACCAAAACTAATCATTTTATTTACAAAACAAAACATGTCAATTCTCTAGTGACATCATTCCTATACTTACGATATGGTCGCAAGAATACAAATCTGGAACACAAGTACCATAAATTGATAATGCTACCACAAGATTTTGTTTGTTTCAACATAAATCTTTGCACAATTTTGGAAGAATAAAAACAAGATGGTTTTTGAAAGGGAAACTTTATCTAGCTGATGAAGGTCAAGTCAAGACTATAACCAAATTGCCGAATTTTCAGAGGTAAAAATCAGGTCCAAGCAATCTCTCGAAGGTTACTTTATCCCACGTTCGTGGTACACAAACCTTTAAACCTCGGACCCCAAAGGCCAAAGCCGGTTATATTTGTGAACATCAAAAACAACTAACAATTGACTACTGACCCTCTTATTGTTCAAGTCTCGTTAGAGATACAAGCAAGATGATATTCAAAACCAGTATTAGCTCCGGTATCTAGAGATTCTGTCAATTTTGTAAATGCAACTTGACCACCACATAATTCACATAACTGGATCTAATCTAACTTAGAAAATTAATTTTGGCTATCTGACTATCATCTCTGTTCCAACCACAAAACATGAAAGATTATCATTTCAAATCATAAAACCAATGAGCAAATAAGAGATGATAGCCACAGTTAGAGGAACTGGCCACTAAACCATCAATGCAACAGCTATGTAAGCTAAATAAAGATTCCATGCGCTTGGGATCGAACATTAATACAACTCTCAAATAAGAAGACGTCACAACAATTGTTAACAGAATTTCAACAGCTCTACTCGGAAGAGCTGTTCTCTAAATGACTGGATACTATCCTTTACAAGCCAATATAAAATCAAAGATCAAGCACATGCATCATGAAGAACAAGAAAAAAACACCAAGAACTACATATACACTATGCATAGATCACCTAAGTAGTTCAAGAACAGATGCAATACAGCATTTTTGTTAACACTAAATTTTCTAGCTAAATACTTTCAGATCAAACTATTAAGTGACTAAATCTCTACCAATCTGCTAAAGAATCCTGAAAGCAAATCCATGATCACCCTAAGTGCAGCAAGATCCTTCTTGATTAAGTGAACAATGCTATAAAATGTAACTGCTACTCGAAAAGGAAACAAGAGAGAACAAACCAAAGCAAAAGATGATAGAACAATAGAGAAAGATCAACTTCGTGTTTTCTACATCTGAAGATAAAAAGTGTCGAACCACCAAAAGAGACAACAAAACACAATAAGCAGATACTGCAAAAGAAAAATCTTTGTTCTACAATTCTGTAGAGCTTAATCTACATTCAATTCAACAACACCAAATCCCTAAAAACCATTACAACTTTAGTTAAAAAAGTCACGAATACTCATCTCAAATCCATGTTTAATTTCGAGATCTCTGAATCGATCCAGCTCTTAAACTCTCCCTGCAACAGCTGAAGCAGCCGAAGTAGCAGAACCACCAAGGAACGAGAGTAATCCAGCATTAGCAGGCTCTTGATCGTCCATGAACAGATCATCCGGAACCACAAACGCACCGTGCAAGCAAACAATTGCAACTCCAATCATCAACGCAGAGGTTAAGAGAGATCCAACGCTGGTCATAAACACAACAACAATCGTAGACAAAACAAGACCAAGCAGCGTCTCTCGGTCAGAGAAAGTGCGACCAAAGACGACTAATGGCTGATCTGATGGCCGGAAGAGGTAGAGGAACATCCATCCAGCGAGGAGACCGATGAGGACAAGGAGGGAGAGAGGATGAGAGAAAAGGGAAAAAGCCAGGACGAGAGAGACGATTGCGACGTAATTAACCTTGAAGTAAGCGAGATTCTTCCTAATCCGAGACAAAGCATCGGTGAGAGATTCAGGTCGAGCCATGGAACTCCGATCGACGAGCTCCGTCCATGGACGTCGCTGTGATAAGCCATCACGGATCGAGGTGGACAGTCGTGAGAAGAAGGTACGGAAGGCTGGAGTGTTGATTGGTGGCTGAGACTGAGCAGCTTGCTGATTGGTGACAGGTAGCGTTGGTGGAGTCGACATGACGGTGGCGCGTGAGGTTAGGTACGGCTGATTTTTGGCCGGTGAGGTTTCCGATCTTAATGTGCGATCTAAATGTTGGAGTGCCGAATCAGAGCTCTCTGTAGTAGATAGATATTTGTTTACATCCGGTTTGATGCGGTTCCAAGATTTTGTCGGTTCGATTCGGTTTTATAACCGGTTAATTTTTTTTTTGGGTTTTAATGTTAATCCAACTTAAATATATATCCGGTTCAAAGTTTAAACTGGTTCGACCGATGTTCCGGTTCGATTTTAAAAACACTGTAACAAGTTTAAAAAAAAATCAAATGTAAAAATCAAAATCATTTTATAAAACCGAATATCTGTAAACCGAAATAAACAAAACCAACTCATTTTGTTTTTCTTTCATTTTGTTGGTCATTCTGCCTAATATCCCATTTTGTTTTTGGTATCATACAATATCATGAATCAGTAGTGGATGAGATGAGTCTTGTGTCAAAGAGTATAGAGATCTTAACAGTGTCAATACTTTTTTTTTGTCTTTAAACACTTTTGGAAGTTCTAGATTTTTGATCCATAATTTTTTCCGGTGCTTGGGACCAGCCGTTGATAATGCCGTATTTAAAGTGTAAATCATTTTTCCCAAGTGGAGTTAAATTAGTGACCTTGAACTTGAAAATTTACTCTCAAGACCACTAAGCTACCAACCACTCGGTCGTCAATATTTTCTTTAAAAAATACTGATTAGTGTAAGATATTTAAAAAAAAATCAATACTTTAATTTTAAATACCTTACACTAATCAGTATTTTTTGTTGGTTCTATGGCACATGAGTCACTTGGTGCATAAGATTTAAGTAAATAGAAAATGTAAACACTTATGCTCAAGAGTATTTCTTTCCATTAACTTTGATCTAGTTTTATTATTTTGTTGTAAGTTGTAACTTATGATGATTACTTGCTTATAGCATTTAAACATGATCATGTATTTATGTGTTATGCAGCAAAGTTAATTTTAGAGAAAAAAGAAAATCAATGTAAAAAAGTCAAAAGAATCTGAATCAAATGGTGGTATTTTAATAGCTTCTCGTATTATATAA